TGATTGGAATCAGTTTAAATTGGGTGACAATTTTTATTTTCATGAAATTATGGTGAGTATTTTGTACATAAAACACCAATTAAAAATTATATAATGTAAGTGTAAGGGAAAATGAGACTTGACTTAGGGACATTTTGACTTTGGGGACACTCTTGATGCACCAATTACATCCGCATCGTGGGGTCTCACTGTAATACTGTTTCTGCTTAGACTCATTATAAATGGAGATTCAGTACTTGCAAGCTTTTTTGGGACAGAAAAAATTTAGAATGTTCTTAACAAATGGATTGGACTTTTTCCAATTCAGCTTAGAATAATTCCAGCTTGTAAGCACGCTGGTACAGTAAAAACTGTTTCTGGTAGCCAAGAAAAACGTCTCTTTGGCATTCTCTGTTTAAAAAAAATATTCAAGTGGGAAAGAGAGAAGGAAGTCCCTCTCTGCTGGAGGTAATATTTTTAAATTAGGAAAATGGATGGTAAATTGGTGAGAGAAATGCCAAATAACTTTTATTACATCAATTTTAGGGTTGGAAATATCGGTTTCTTGTAATGTGGCCTGAAATGTATTTACAATTATATAACAAAGTGTCCCTATGTTGAGTTAGTGTCCTCATGTCAGGTTATTTTTATTGCCTTTCCATGATAAAGTAAGTGTCCCTATATTGAATTGTCTGCAGGTTGAGGTGTCCGCATGTGGGGGTCTCACTGTATTACCTTCATATGCACCAAATCTGTATAATTTTATAACCTTAGATATTCTTGACAGTGTAAAGAAAAATGAAAAAGTTTATGACTAAAATTTCATTCAGACACTTTTTAAATTTCTTGAGTCTGCTTTCAAGATCGTTGAGAAAATCAAGCTGAAGTGACAAAATGCGTGGTTCAACTCGTCATTCACGTCCAATTTTTGTGCTTCCAATCAATTTTTACGTGAATTGTCTCCATGAAGTTGCCCAAAATATTCAAGACAAATCACAACTAGGGAAAAGTGTGTATTAAAATAGACTGGCCTCTAACAATAGTCCAGTTCTAAAGCATTTTCGAATTGCAAGCAAACACGGACATTTCCCGATGAAAATTTTTGTCAAGACCAAGCGCTTTTTTTTTCATTCCCGTGGATGTCCTCCAAGTGCGGGATTTAGAAAAGAGGATTTTCTGTGCAACATTGAAAACAAAATCACGGTTTTTTTTTGCTGTGCTCCGGATGCTATTCTGAGACCGTGTTCTATTTTAAAATTCAGGATTTTTTTCCATCGGCACAGAGCCGAACGTGATGCACATTTTTGTGGCTTAATTGGTTCTAGAGTTGAAAATAAAGTTTGGTCCTTGTTTCTTCCATGGAATTATTGCAGACGGTTTCTGTGTCCATTCCTGAGGATGATGAATCAGCAGTGAAAACATCCGGGATTTGCGACTCACGGAGTTCTTTGGCGAACATCACGTACACCTGGGGAAAGGATGATCATTTTCAATTCACTGTCACATTCGAGAAGGTTCGAGATTCCATTTTATAACTATAATTTTTTTTTCTCAACCAGTCCGAATGGCTGCTTCAGCTAATTGAATACGATGTGGATTTCAACTTTCTCCCAGTGAAGATGAACCTGTATTTTTCATAATCTTGACCTAGAAAATTTTTCTGACCAATCAAAGTAGATACGTTATTATGATACACGCAAGAAACATCTCAATATTACTTGCGCCAAAAAAGTCCCTGTTATCTTCAACGTTTGAAATACAGTGAGACCCCTACATGCGGACGCCTTGACCTGCGGAAAATTCGACATGGGGACACTTATTTTCCCAGGAAACAGCAATAAATAAGGCCCAACATGAGAACACTGACTCAACGTAGGGACATTTTGTGATAAAATTGCAAATACATTTCAGGCCAAATTGCAAGAAACAGATATTTCCAACACTACAATTGATGTAAGAAAAGTTTTTGGACATTTCTCTCACCAAATTACCATCCATTTAGCTAAGAGTGGAATGATACAATATATAGTCGGGTCTCGGCTATAACAAATACCCTTGTTGACGTACTTTCCAGATTTAACAAAAAAGAAAAACATGGAGACCCCCACATGTGGACACCTCAACCTGCAGACTTGACTTAGGGACATTTAGACTTGGGGACACTCTTGATGCACAAACGGTGTCCACATCTGGGGGTCTCACTGTACTACATACATCCTCAAAAACAACTCCTTGAATTCATTCATTCTTGATGAATATGGAGTTTTATGGAATACAGTAGTGAAACTAACCTGGCCTGAATAATATGACCATGTCAAGCAGATAGAAATGCCTTTGGGAGGGAATGGCTTTTTTTGTAAGGTTTGGCAATTTAATTAAAATTATATTGCAACGTGTAAAAGCTTTGGTGAGTAGGTGATGAGTTACGTTTTATATTAATATGGAAGATTTACATTTTCGAATAACTATAAAATATTTCCAGTGAATGTCATTAAGCGCCGTCTATTCTAAAAAACGATAATTTATTGTCGATATGAAGTCAAAATTTTTAGAAGTTGCATATTACTGTACTATCAATATCTCATGTCATCATCAGGGAAAAGCTGGAAGAAACGAAGTCTGGCGAGTGAAAGAATTCGCACTAAAGTACGATCGAAGTGACGCTGTGTTCAATGGAACAACTTTCCTGGATGGTGAGCTTTTCTAATTGTCAGTGATTGAGGAACTCGATTTTTAATGTTGTATGTATTTTATTCATTATTTTTTAAATCGTACAGGTGGTCAACCCCTGGTGGTGACGAACCCAAAGAAGCTGCATTTCCAGGTGTCTCATGAAATGTCCTTGGCTTGTGATTCGGACAAGAAATTCGATCTATCTGGAAAATCGAAAGACGACGGATCAGTTGTTGCCATTATCCATCACATGAAGTTTCATCCGTTCCTCGGAATGTCCGGTGCATTTGGAGAAGGTACATCAAATACTGTATTGAATTAAATATGGTGATGGACAGTGCAGTACATTGATGAGTGCGCACTTCAAGTTTGTGTGTCTGAAAGAAATATTCCGGATGCATTCACCCATAATGTTGAATTTCTTGAAAATCGGAGAAGCAAATTCAGTACACGCTCTTCAGTCGTAATTAAGTTCAATTTTCTTCAACACTCCCCGAGGAGAAATTAGAATCGCAACTTCACCGAAAACTGCTCAATATTCAAAACTAGATAAGCAACTTTCGATTGAGTTGCATTCCCAAATTTTTTCTTCAAAGCTTCGGATGATGTTCAAGACGTAGTTTTTATACAACAAAAGATATGTTGAATGAACAAATGAATGAACAGAACACTTTATTTGCCACTTCTCAGCATTCACAAGGCTCACTAAAGATTTCCACAACCAAACCCCCTTCCCGCCCAACCCAAATCCACTCAATGACATTTAATCACTTCAGAGCAGGAAAACACAAATTGATAACAAAAATAAAAGAAAATACAACCCATGAAATACAACTGGACATCTGACATGTACGCATGCACCCATTCATTCCCTGACATTGAAACAAAATATATGTAAAAATTAATTCAAAGGGGAAGGCCTTCAGCTTGTTTCTGGATGAGGTTTAGTTAATGAACAATTTAGAGAGAATCTTTGATGAGAAATCATATAAGGCCAACAGTTTATTGTGATCCTTTGAGATTTCAGAAAGGGTCTCTTCATTGAATTCCAATACTTGTAAATCTTTCTTAAGCTTGTTTATATCAGTATGAAATGCTGGAAATACAAAGAGAAGGTGCTCTGATACATTTGACAGAACTCAGAAGAAATCAGATGTGTGAAAACATGATAGATTTCTAGAACAATTACTCAAAAGTCCTCTGAAATCAAATCAAAATTTGGAAATATTGAAGTTTGTCAGAAATTTGAGAAATTCAAAATCTCAGGTGTCCATTTTCTTGGCCATTCCCTCCACGGAATTAAGCAGGGAAAAGAGACAAGCTTTCAAAACTGAAGCATATTTCCTATTCCGGAATTAAATTTGACATTCAAAAGTCAAGATTTTTACTCATCAGTTATCCCTTATTGTGCTCAAGTGTGACAAGAATTGCTAGATTTTGCAGAGGAAATTTTGTGTGAACATGTATTCCTTCCTCGAGGCGAGTACCCCAGTTTTTTCTTTGTGACTAATAAATTCAAATGGATTAAAAATTTTCGAAAACGTGAAAAAACGAAATTCTAATTTTTTTCTGAACTTAAAATTCATAAAATGGCAGCTTTTTTACAGTAACCCCTATTTTTGGTGATCACTACATTCAGTGGTAAAATGCACAACCCATAGTAATTCGAATTTTTGTATCAAATAAAAGTTGGAGAAGAAGAAATCACAACTGTAGAAAGCAATTGCCGTTTTCTCGATGAACTTATTCAAAATGTTTATACAGTACATGTATTTTTTTCAAATTTGAATAAATGGATCTCAATTATTCAATGCGAACTCGAACAGCTTGTCAAAAATTTCAAAACATATTCTAAAAATGTCTACCAAATCAAGGCTAGCTAGCTCTCACTTTCTGGGATCAAAATGACAGAGAAAAAAAAACTGCGCGTGGCACTCAAAAGAAGCACGGTAATGATGATTCGTTTCTTTAAAATTTTCGTGACGATGATTAGGAATGAGCTGCCTGTCATGCAGCCTATATATACAAATGAAAATCTTGTTTGTTTCTTCCTCTCCATCCAAGTTTACTGGTGCCGACCCGAGTTCGACGAACGTGTGCCAATCGCTGTTGGCAGTGTGATGGCCGTCATGACTGTTATCACCGTGGCTGGATACGCGCTTTTCAGGAAATTCCGACCAAAGAAAGCAGATTACGACACCATGGAGTAACCAATGCGTTACATATTCGCTGTTCTTTCAGGTACGACCAGGAAATTGCTTTACCTTCTTTGCAAATTTTCATGAGGATTGCAAATACTGTAGATAGAAGCAGTTCCGTACTACACTTTGGAGATTGCCTCAGCATGTTAATGATAGCCAATAATGTGCGTTCCAAACAATTTGGAAGTCGGGAGTCTCATTAATTTGAACTCGAAAGATACTGAACATATGTCAACTCATTATTCAACTTACGTGCAGTTAGTGAGTATTTTCAGTTGAAGTGAATTCATGAATGCAACAAATAATTCAGAAAATACTTACAAAGACATTGAAGCCAACGAAACTACGTAACCCTAAATTTCTCGACACGAGGCTTTCTAAATTTTTGATGAAAATTATTTTCGTATTGCAGTCCTATTACTGCTACCCCAATGTATGCAACATCTCCCAAAGAATGTATCAATGAGCCCTTGTAAGAAAAACGGTAAAACAACTTTCTAATTTGTACTTGGTTCTCAACGTTGAAATTGTCATCAGGTATTATCGACTTTGATGTTTTATGAATATCTACTCTTATAGACGTCTCCAAGATTTACTATCCGGTTTCCATGTTGAGCAAGATTAACCATGGTTAAATAGAGGATATGTCAATTGATCATTAAATAACTTTCAGTATAATTTACATTACACGCCAATGAGAGACGTCGAGTTTCATCTAATGACTTTTCAAGTAAAACGCATCTGACAGACGTCTTCCAAATTTCTTGACTGTATACAGTGGGACCCCCACATGCAGACAACTTGACATAGGGACACTTATTTTCCCATAAAAAATTAATAAAATAGGCCTGACATGAGGACACTGACTTGACATAGGTACATTTTGCAACAAAAGTTCAAATATATTTCAGGCCAAATTACAAGGAACAGATATTTCCAGCCCTAAAATTGATGTAAGAAAAGTTCTTGGACATTTCTCTCACCAATTTACCATCCATTTTGCTAATTTTAAAAAATTACCTCCAGCAGCGTGGGACTTCTTTCTCTCTTTTTCACTTGAATATTTTTTCAAACAGAGAATGCCTACATTTCTATGTACTGTACACAGGTATCAGTATTAAATTCCCCAAATGCCCATATTGTTTTGAAATCAATTGATTGGGATCAGATTCAATTGGGAGATAATTTTTTTTTTCATGGAATTATGGTGAGTATTTTTTTTTACCTAAAACACCGATTAAAATTTATTTAATGTGAGTCTAAGGGAAAATGAGACTCAACTTAGTCACATTTTAGCTGGGGGACAATCTTGATGCACCAATTATGCCCACATCCGTGGGTCTCACTGTATATGCTTAACCTCAAAGATTCAATCAGATTCAATTTTTTTGAACAGAGAATGCCTACATTTCCAATGTAGAGAATGCCTACTGTACACAGGTATCAGTATTAAATTCCGCATATGCCCATATTGTTTTGAAGTAAATTGATTGGGATCAGATTCGATTGGGAGATACTTTTTTCATGGAATTATGGTGAGTATTTTGTACATGAAACATCAATTAAAATTTATATAATGTAAGTCTAAGGGAAAATGAGACTCAACTTATGCACATTTTTACTGGGGGACACTCTTGATGCACCAATTATGCCCACATCCGGGGGTCTCACTGTATATGCTTAACCTCAAAGAATCTGTTACGTGAACCCAAAGGACTTGCATTGATTGCTGGTGAATTGATTTTTCAATAGCTGGTAAAATCTTCTTCCATTTTTCTTTGCAACAGGTCGTGCGAAAGGTTGGGATATCCTGAAATGTGCACAAACTCCTGCCCTGGCGTGCATGCAGAGATTTGCTGTGAATGCGTGCTCGAGTATAGAAAACATGAATTCCAGTACATTCCAAGAATTGTAAATATACACCGGGTGTTCAATTTCGTGTGTTATTTGGCGAGTTCTTGATGAGGTTTGTGTTCAAATTATGGGCTCACTATACCGGACAGCGAGAACAGTTACCGGAAACAGTTTAAAGTTTTAAAATTGGCTTTATTGACGGGAAGAGAAAAATTTACCTCCGCTTTCTAATTTGTTCTTTTTTTTTTAAAGTCAATCACTGATGGTGCTGATGGGATTTTAGAAACATTACAAATGTAAGCTTTGTGTTTGAGGCAACGCATTCCAAGAAACGAAACGGTCATCAATTCCTTGTCTTCCAAACAAACAAATCCTCTATACGTTTTCGAAATACAAATTATATAAAGTGGCAAAGCAGAGATATTAGATGTTGGGTCGAGACCATTTCAAACTAGCTTATGTTTTGTACTGCATTTATATTTACGCTTTTCTCATTTTCAAACGTCACGACAGCGCTGATATACCCAACAGAGGGCTTTCGTTAAGGTACTTTAAACACATGTGGAAAGTGTGCTTCATCTATCAGTATTGCGGATTCCTCAAATCTTTAAAGAATCACCCACCAGGGGGGGGGGGGAATATTTGAATGCGTTCGGAAATGAAGTGTGCTTGTGGTGTTGTTTGTTGGTGTTCAGATTATACAGCTGATGAACAGGAACTCGTTGTCCATTGGTTCCAGTAAATTAATTTTGCTCCGGATACTTTTTGATGCTAAAAAGGTGGGTTTGCAATCCTTCCAGTCAGAGGCGGCCTTAGAGTTTGCGGGGCCTGGGGCCAATTTTAAATGCGGGGCCCCTGGCAAATTCTCGATGTTCACTCCCTACCATCACCTTTACTAAATTTTTAGTTCAGGAAAGAAATATTTTCCCTGTGCAGGGCTTCCCATCTGCAGATTGCTCATGCATTCATCAAGTAAAAAATGAGATTACTCACTTGTAAGAATGCTCTAAACAAATACTGTATTGTCAGGTACCTGAAGAAGTTGACATGCACCTTTTATTGGCTGAAGTCCACTTTTCTGGCCTTCCTTGCTGAAAATTCACTCATAAGATCTTTGTAGTCCAAAGTGGAGGCAATGTCTTTTTCTATGGACAGTATTGCTAGACTGCAAAGCCTATCTTGTGACACAGTGGACCTCAAATAATTTTTAATCAATTTAAGTTTTGAGAAACTTCTTTCAGCAATAGCAACTGTCACAGGAATGGTTAGCAATATTCTGTATGCAATTGAAATGCTAAGAAATGAATCCCTAAAGTTCCGAAGGTACAGCATGGAGACAATCTATGGCAGTTTTTACATTTTCTGGTAGTATCTCCCTGAAAACCTTGAGCTCCTGACACAGATCTGCTCCATCCAGATCATGGTTGCTCTCTGAACACAATGCTGAATCCAGATGCATACAATGCATCAAGAGGTCACCATGAGGTAATTTTTGCAGGGTGTTCAAATTGTATAAAAAGCCAAAAAGCTTTTCATAGTGTTCAAATTGTTGAAACCTGGTTTTTATGGAAGTGATTGCTTGGTCTATGATGCACAAAAAATAGCCTGTCCTGGAAGCCTCCTCAGCAGATAATTTCAGTTCATCTGAACTTTCATAGTGAAATACCTTCTTCCTGATTTTTTTCTCTTTAGTTTAAAAATTCCCTCCACATCCATTGCCCTTGCAATTTCTTTTGCAGTATTCATTGAAGAATTGAAACCTGTGTCTCTATACTTGGTCGAAAATTTGGATAGTCCTTTAATTTGATCAATTGCCACATCCAATTGCATGTCAGCAGATTGTAGTGATTTGCTCACAGTATTAACAGCAAACAGGATATCATACCAAATGACTGTAGAAAGGATGAATTCAAAGCTTCCTATCTCAAAGTTTGCAAGAGACTCAGCTTCAGATTTAACCATAGGATCTTTGCATTCATCAGCTACAG